CCCCCACCCCGCCCAGGGAAGAGAGTGTCTGAGGTTCTCTCATTTGTACTTTTTTTTCTAGATTAAGGCATCTCATGATTTTAAATGTTTTATGATGACAGTTGAAATATAAAATATATATAATCTTTTGCAGAATTGAGACTTAACAAAACCCTGGTGGTGTTCTAGCTCTTCCTGTTTGTAGGATTCGGGTACTATAAGAGGAGTTGATGTAATGCTTGTGTAGTTTTGTGTCCTCTGCTGTCATCTGACATGAATGAATCTCCTTAGTCTTCAGCTCAACTCTGGTGCTCTGGTCTCTGTTTGATCTTCATCCTTGTCTAGAAGTCTGAAGGACCGTGTTTCTTCCTTGTCTTAGGGAACCTCAGGGCATCATAGCTTGCTGTAACCCAGTGCCACCTCTTGTTCGGCAGCAGACAAACGAAATGCACCTTTTAATCCAGCAGGCACGAGAGATGCCCCTACTCAAGGTAAGAAGCTTGTCTGCTGAAAGCCATCAACCCAGCACCTTAATCCATTAATTGTTGTTGGGTTTTTTTTAATAATAAGTACTTAATGTCCTTATTGTGGCACAAACCTGTATTTTATGTTAACGTAGCTTTATAGTAAAGGCATTGCATTTTGTGTATGACTGTAGAGAAGGCAGAGTATAGAGATCTCCAACTTAAAACTGGATTGTATTGTGAAAGTCCATTGGACTGTTTGAGAAATACATGGGAAAATATTTACTCTGTAGAAAATAGTAAACATGATAACATCCTCCAGATTAGCTCAAGCCCATCTAAATGAAGGAATAGCTGAATTACACAATATGGTTTGAATTCTGGTATCCAGGGAAGACTTTAGCTTCACTTATTCTAAAAGCCATGTTTTTCTTAAAATTAAGGTGCGCAAGGTGAAATTACTAGAAATCTCCTCCCCCTGTCCTCTTGTTCTTAGTTTGTAGCTTATTTCTTTTCCTGTAAGCTAACCCACATCAAGATTTTAGCTGTCTGTTCCTGTAGGACAGATAACAGTCCCTTTTAACCTGCTTGAAAGGCCATTCTTCCTAAATCAGGAAATGTTTTGGTGGTTATTAAATCATGCCCAGTATTTGGGGGGAAAAATAAAAAAGAATCTAATAAATTATAATCCACAAGGCATTTGTGATCAAATACCTTCCCTAACTGCTATTTTTCTGTGTATAAGAGGGGCTTCAAAAAGTTCGTTGAAAAATTCTGTGATCTTTTTCTTTTTAACTATGTATTATAAATTGAGTTGAAGGTTCACAGAGCAGATCATCAGTTATACATTTAAATAATCATATGTTTTGCTCCAGTACAATGATTGCAATCACCTCCTCATACTAACAGTTAACAGTATTTACCTCAATTCACTTTTACTCTTGCATTCCCCCAGTGCCTCCCAATACCTTCATCTTTCCTTTGCTAACCTCCCACTTGTATATTGCCTGCCCTGTCACCCATATTAAGTTGTATCTACCTTCTAGCTGGAGTATTGGTGTGGTGCTATGGGTTAATGTGCTGGACTGCAAGGTTGGCGGTTCAAACTCACCAGCCACCCCTTGGAAACACTATACAGGGTTGCTATGAGTCGGAACCAACTCAACAGCACTTAATAACAACAGCCGTCTAGCTCATGAATAAATATCCTTCTCCCTACCCCCTGTAATCATAATAGATTGATTCTTTTTATCAAGAAAATGTCTTCTTTCTACAACATTGATCTCATACAATATTTGTCATTTTGTTACTGACTCATTTCACTCAGCATAATGTCCTCCAGGTTCATCCATGTTGTGGGGTGTTCATCGCTGTTCTTCAGTGTTGTGTAGTATTCCACTGTATGTACCAGAGTTGGTTTAATCATTCTTCTATTGATGGGCATTTAGGCTCACTCCATCTATTGGATGTGTCTCTTGTAGATAGCATATTGAAGGTCCTGTTTTTTTATCCACTTTGCTCTCTCTCAGGGAGAGAGAGGATATAAAGAGAGTAGAGAGGCAAAAAAAAAAACATCAAAAGAAAAATGAGAGGGGAAATGAGAGACAAGAAAAAGAAAATAAACAAGCAGAGATGGAAAGGACAAAATTCAAGGGAATGGAAAGGAGAAGAAAGAACAAACAAACAAAACAATGAAAGGAAAAAATAAAACCAAAGAAAGCCAGTGAAGCTATTGGCCCCAGAAATAAAACTTTGGGAGGCTGCTGCCAGCCTAGGAGCCCATGAAGTGGATACAGAAGGGATGTGACAGTAGAGATCCTAGCCCTATGTGGAATTCCTGTAGCTTTAAATGTTATCTGTGTTCAGGGCACTCAGTCAGGAAGTAGTTCATGGATGCCCTTGATGTCTGTCCAAACCACAAGGGTAGCTGGAGACAGGGTGACTGTTTTGAGGTTTTCTGCTAGACTGATGCTGGTCTGGTGGTACTGTGGGTTCTGTAAGTCTAGAGCCAAGCCCGCCTGAATCCAGGCCAAAGCACCCAGCCAGCCCCCATCTCAAACTGGCTTGCCTCCCCACCATATGACTAAACTCCCAGAAAGCAAGGTCTGCACTGGGCATAGGGATAGGAACCGGTCACACCTCTGGTCACCAGGGGAACATGGGGAAAAGAATCACACCTTTCCTGTTCTTGTGTGCATTTGTTCTGTCACCAAAGCTGCCCACAAAAGTTCAAGATGTTTGTATCTGTGACCAATCAAGTCTTTCTCTCTCCATCTCTGCTCAGTTTCTCCTCTCAGCAAGTACTCAATTCACTTCTCTAAACTTTCCTCTGAAGTTCAGGGTTCCAGGATTCTCATCTTTGTCTGTTTCATGTGGTCTCTCCTATCTTTGTTGTAGAAGGTCCGTGTAGTACGTCTGCCTAGTCCACCATCTTTCCAGAAGTCTCAGGTCTGAAAAATTTTCTGTTACCTTTTTTTTTTAAGATTTTTATTGTGAATTGAGTGAAAGTTTACAGGGCAGATCATCGGTTTTACTTTCAACAAGTCATGCACCTTATTTTCATTACAATGATTATAATCCCCTCCATGTACCATCAGTTAACAGTATTTCTCTCAATTCCCTTTGTTTGTTCAAAAAAACACTCAGGCATATATAATAATTTACACTTCCAAAGGGCACATTCTGCAAGTCTGCCTCCTCCGGCTCTTAATCCCTCTCTTCCCATGAATCTAGAGTCCTCAGCCGCTCGCCCTCTCCATATCCCCATCTCTGCCTCCTTCTCTGGCGTCACTGCTTTCCCAGATAAGGTCCTGAATTCTGATTGTGCTTGCCTCCCTTGATGGTCCTAGCGTCCTCTGTTTCTGGACTGTAAGATTAACTACTCCCGTTTTTGTTATAAAAACGTCTACCTTTACAGTTGTGACAGTCGCAATTAGTCATGATAACAATTATTTAATATTGAATCATATAACTCTTATCCCCATTTCTTTTCACCAGACCCATCAAGACAAGATGAAAACTATTCAGTGGGGACTCTTTCTTTCCTCCCCCACCCATACTCTTAAACTAAACTCTCTCTTG